GAACCGCTGACCTTAAGGTTCGCAGCCCAATTCGTACTGAGAAAATATTGCTACAATGTCTGAAATATATGTTGTTGTTAAGTGTATCGAGTCGGTACCAATTTATAGCGACCCTATGCACAGCAGAACGAAACACTGCCGGATTCTGGGCCCATCTCACTACTGTTGCCACGCTTGAGTCCATGGATGCTGCCACTTGGCCAATCCATCTCGATGGGGGTTTTCCTCTTTTTCTCTGATCCTTCACCTTACCAAACATGATATCCTTCTCCAACTACTGGTCCATCCTGACAACATGTCCAAAGTATGAGATATATAGGTGTCTTAAAAAAAAAAAATTCCTTTATATGATTGAAATTTAAATTTAAGCCTTGGCTTCAAACCATAAAGAAAAGATCAGTGACTTTGGGTGGAAAATACCACTGCAGAATTAATTTTGGGCCAGGAATTAAAAAAAAAAAAATTGGTTTTGTGGATAAGAAAATCAAAGTAAGATGTCTTAATTTTTCTCGTCAGCACTGGGTACAAAAGTATGTGTGAGAAAAAACCAAGACTAGGGAAGTTGAGGCCCAGTGCAGGCCCTCTATTAAAATTTTTTCTACCCACTCACTCTCTTCTAGTTCCTTTCCTTTCGTTCCCTGATGTAGCCAGGGAACTCACCCACTGGTGAGGATGTGCACAGTATGTATCCTCCAATCCCCTATCGTCATGGTTCTTATAGTAGTGTTGAGTCCGAATTCTGGCCACAGAGAAGCGGTCAACTTTGCCCAATTAACGTTCCCTGACCTATCTTAAGCAATTCTGCAGAGGCTGGGGAGGAGGGGAGGGGGGCAGTGGACTTTGTCCCCTTCCAGTGGAAGAAAACCAATTCCCCAAAGACCAACAAAATCCTAGCCAGGTGTGCTCTAGGCTGCTCTATTCCAACGCCGCCAGGAGATTTGGCAATTGCGCGTGGCCGGCTGCGCTGGAAGTATATGAATTCAGTTAATCCTCATGGCTTTAGGAAGGAAGCACTATTATAATCAGCAATTTACAGATGTGGAAAAAGGTCACGAGAGGTGGCCAACGTCTACTCCGCTGCTCCCCGCCCAGCTTCGAACACCAGAGCTTGGACGCTCCTCTGCCTATACTGCCCCCTGCGGGCGCAAGCTGGATAGTTCGCTTGGAGTGTGATGTGCTCGGATCTGCAAACAATTGTCCATAAGTGGTGTCTGACAATTAAGATACCCTGTCGTTCAACTGATTGGCTCTCGGTCACTAGCCTCCCTTCTCCCTCTGTTGATGACAGGTGGGGTCGCTCATGGTAGCTTTCAGGTAAAAAAGGCGATGCGTATGTGCTTTAACTCGGCTGTACATTTGAATCAATTTGAATCAAATAAGGAAGGCAATGTCTGATCCTCAGATTCGGACTCAATTCATCTAGGTGTAGCCCAGGCAGGGCATACATTTTTTTTTTTTTTTTTTTCCTTTAGAAAAGAAGAGAAAAAAAAGTTCCCCGGTGATTCTGATGTTAAGCGCCATGAAGTCAGTTCTGATTAAGTGACCCTGTATAAGATTTCGAGGACCAGCTGGTGGGTTTGAACCACCAACTTTGTGTTTAATCCAGTGCTTCTCTTATAGTGCCATACTATGAGCCAGCAGACAAACCCAAGTGAGGTCGGAGGAATGCTGGCCCCCTGGGTATGAATCCAGTCCTATCACTAATACCATTGCATTGCCCTGGGGGTGTCGCTCTGAACCTTCTCTGAACGGGTTTTCCCCATCTGTCTAACAGACCGATCGCGGCCTCTGATAACAAGATGGTTGCTATCAATGTGAGACAGGCTTTGAAACTTGTAAAGGGCTGTCAGGTTGGTTCTGGCTCACAGACCTTATTCACCACAGAAAGAAACATTGCCTGGCTCGGCATAGTCTTCGCAATCAGTAGAATGTTTGAGTTGATCGTCATATAGTATGAATCTTTACTGAGAGGAAGACAAATGGCAACTTTGTGGGGAAATGGTTGGATGGGCAAGGGATCTGTACCTTGTTGAGCCGATTCCTTTCTTTCTGGAATGGTCTTTTAAAAATTCCAGTCTTACAAACTGGGCTGTACCGCCATCGTATGGCAGCATAGGAAACTGCAGCTGAGCTTCCATGGAGTCCCATCAATTGCTCCATGAAAACTATTCATAGTCCCACCCTTGTTTGTTAAGAGGTATCAGACGTCTGTTGGCAGGCTGAAGTCTTCTGATATCCTATTGTCCCTCTTGATAAATCCAAATTTGATCACCAGCAGAAACATCCTTCAAGACCTATCCTAAGAATAATGTCTTTTAGAAGGATCAGCAAGAGCTTGGTCTGTATGAGGTGGAGGTAAAAGAAATTCCATATGTCCAACCTGTGGTGCTGTAGGATAAGCACTCGACTGTAAAGTCGGTTTGAACCACAAGGTCGGTGGTTCAAACCCACCACCCATTCCTTGGAAATTCTATACAAGGTCATTGAGTCAAAACTAACTGGTGGGCACTTAACAACAAGAGGCATTTGGGTAAAGAAGACACTCTTGACTTCTACTTGCTCATGAACTGACATCCAATTAATGAGCAAGTATCAGTTTTACTTCCAAGATGTTCCCTTCCCTTCCTCTCCTCTGTCACCAATATGGGGGGAAGTGGGAGGCTGGTGGTGGCTGGAGAGAATGAAGCAAGGGATGGGGCTGTCCCTTGGAAATGGAGGAGGACTGAGAAGACATGGTGGGTGGTTTTGTGGCTAACTATGCAGAGGTTAAATTGGAGGATAAGGACTGGACTATTAACCACAAGGACTCCTGGTGTGGTGCTGTAGGATCAGCAATGGACTGTGAACCACAAGTTCAGTAGTTCAAACCCACCTTGGAAACCTTGTACAGGGTGGCTGTGAGTTGGAACTCACTTGATGGCATTAACACTGTGTAGGGGTTGGAGTCCTAATGTAATGTTGTAAGATAAGCACTGGACTTCTAACCAAAAGGTTGGTGGTT